TAAGGCCGCCGCGCGCCCCTGCTGGTCTCCCGCCGCCGCCGCGACCCCGCAGCCTGCTTGCAGCTCAATGGGCCCCGCCCGCGCGTAACCCCGCAGCAGCCGCGGCCAAAGACCCCGGCGCGGCCGCCATCTTTGTTTTCGCTGCGCTCCCCCCACCCTCCCGCACCACCGCCCCCTCGTCATCCCCATCACGTGGCTCCACGTAGGGCCAATGGGAGTGCCTCCTGGGGCAAGACGGGGTGGCAGCCGGAGCCTACGGACACGGGAGGGCTACTGAGGGCCCGCCTCCAGCAAAAGGTGGCAGGAGGGGGCGGGGCCCAGGAGGCTGGTAGAGGGTGCGCATCTGGGCAAGCTTTTGCGCGCCTCCGGGGTGGTATTCACTTCCCGCGAGCCAACAGGAGGAGTGAGGACCCTCACACCTCTAAATCGGGGTGTGCCTGTGCCTACGCCATTGTCCCCCGAGACTCATGCTTTCCTGTGCCTGGCGCTGGCCTAGCTTGACGGAGTGGAAGGGCACGAACTCGAAAGACCCCGCCCACCACCCCTCTCAGTGTGGTGCAGGACCGGATGTGCGAGCAGAGAGTCTGCGTTGAGAAGGATGTGTTCTTTTCTTTTTTTGTCTTTTTGAGACAGGGTCTCGCTATGCAGTTCAGGCTGGCCTGGAGCTCACTTTGTAGCCCAGGTTGGTCTGGAACTCACAACGATCCTCCTGTCTCAGCCTCCCGAGTGTTGGGATTACAGGCGTGCGCCACCGCGCCTGGCTTATGTTCTAGATCCCTAACCTACTGTTCTGTCCATTCCTCTTTCCTGTTCTTGGCTTTGGACGCTGAAGAGTTCACGCAGGAAACTGAGGGTCTTAGGGAATAGGGCTTGCCTGCTACAGACAGGAGGGCAAGCAGGTAGTAACTGAATCAACCCAGGAAGGAACCTGTGTTTCTGGGAAACCCTGTGGTATTGACCTCTTGTGCCTTTACCAACACAGCCATCAGCCCATGAGGGTCACTGTCCTGGAGGACCACCTACCAGGCTGAGCAAGGGTATCTGAAAATCCACCATGTCCCAGAAAAGCAAGGGCTGAGAACCATGTCTTCTTAGCGCAGGGGTCCTCCTGACAAAGGTGCCAGAAATAGGACAGGTGGAATGAGGCCCCATGCCCATTCCAGCACATTCCCTGTGTTGGCTCAAGGTAATCAGCTGACACCCAGGGATCTTAGGGAAGCTCTCTGAAGGTCCCTCAGTCCTTCTCAAGAACAGGCAGATTTCACTTTCCTGCAGATTTTCTAAGGTTTATTAGCGATCTAGACCCACAACTGTGTCCTACCCAGAAACATCTCAAATGTGCCTGTGACCCTGTCCCTTTCATTCTGGTCTAGATAATCCCTGCATATGACCAGAGAAGGGACAGCTCAAAGGCTCTTCAGACCAGCAAACCTGCCACAGGCCCACTTCAGGAAAAATAAAAAGCCTGTTTTTAGGTGGGGAATACCCAGGAGCAAGCAGGTGAGAAGGGAGATATAACCAGGGCAGAGCCTACTTTCTTGTGTCCACTGTCATTCCCACTGCAGGCGCTGTGTGTGCAAGGCCCAGCAGTAGGCCCAACTGCCTGCAGCCAAGGCCCAGCGACAGATGTCCTCCTTGGGCAACAGCAGCAGCCTATCCTCCTCCAACCGGCTCAGGAGGCCTGCAGCACCCAGCATGGCACCCCCCCACATCCCATAAGTGTTGCCTGTGAAAACAGCCACGATGAGGATGGTCACTGCGACCACTAACAGCACTGCCTGACCAGCCACAGAACAGCCTTCGGGGCCAAGATGGTCACCAGCCACTGCCAGGACCATGCCTCCTCCCAGAAGCAGGTTGGCAGAAGATCGGTCTCCGTTCACCCAGTGGAAATCAAAGGCCAGAAGGGGCAGGCCAATGACTGTGGCCACCCAGGCCCCAGCAAGACAGTCTTCATGTGTGCCCAGCCCTGGGACCAGTGTGGTGGCAGCAGCCAAGGCCTGGAGCAGGAAACCAGCAGCAGCTCCTCGACTTGACTGTCAACACAGGGAAGTGAAGACATGTGGGAAAAAGAGGCCAGGGCCTCACCTTTAGAAAGGAAAGGGTTTGGCATTCTCATGGACACCTGGCCCCAGACACACCTCCCACCACCATTTGGGTAATGCAGGAACTAGGTCCTTAGGGTGTGCGAGTGGGGATACTCACCTGCACAGAGCTCACAGCTGCATGCAGAGACACCACGCCAAGAGCAAGGTGGGACAGGACAGTGCTCCACTCACCCCTCGGCTTGGGGGCCATGGCACCTCGCGCAGTAGTGAGTTTGAGGAGACACGAAGGGGACCTTCAACTTTGGAGAGAAAGAAAAGCCGTGACCTGGAGCCCTAAGACCAGCTTTGCACATGACTGCACATTGGGATGGGTTCAGTCCTAAACTTTCTGCAGCCCTGAGGCCACTGACACACCTGTAGAGAGGAAGGACTAATTTGGCTAGCAAAAACAGGAAAACACGGTTTGGGGTCTGGGTTGGGCGGGTGTGAGCCTAAGTGGGGCACCAGGCGCAGGAGGCAGAACAGACCCTCACGGAGCCCTCTGAGTCTCAGCAATAAGGAGGCGCAGTCCTCGACGCCAGGTCCGGAGGAGTGACGGCGCAGGCCTGCCAGCGGCCGCCACCCCAACACCAGAATTGCTCACAGCCGTCGTCGTCTTCGGCAGCCCGGACGAGTGCGGCCTGGCGCGGCCACCAGCGAGAGGAGCGGAGGCTAGAGCGGCCGGGGCGGGGCCTGGGGAGGCGAGTGGGAGGCTCTAGGAGCGAGTGGGGTTTGATGGGAGCCAGTCGTGGCTAGGAGAAAGGGCTCTCTACCGGCCAGCGTGTGGAGCCCGGGACCGTGAAGGACTTGGGGCGGAGGGAGGTCTGGGCGGGCTTTCAGGCGGGGCGGGGCTTGGAGGAAGGGGCGGTTATCCAGGTTGTGGGCGTGGCTACAAGGGAGGGGCGGGGCATCTCCAGAGGCCGGGCTTTTAGGGGCGGAGTCCTTGCGCACCTGTGCCCCGGTGGTACCCTAACATGGAGTGGTGGGGGCTCTCCGCGAAGGACGAGAAGGATTCTGGTGGAGGTGGAGGTGCGGCAGCCGTGGGCGCTTTCAGCTCCGGAGTCCACGAAGTTGGGACAAGGGGTCACGAGAAGGGCGAGCCCGGGGGCGGCTGAAGGGGATGCCTGTTCCGGGGACCCTAGTCCTGTGCTCGCCATTTGGCTCACACCCTCCGCTCGCTGGAGCGGGGCCGTGGGGGCGGCCGCCGCGAGCATGCGCGCCGGCACTGCGGCGGGCGGGTGTGGAGTCGGGGCGCGGGGACGCGGGGCGGCACGAAGCGGGGCCCTCTGCCGCCCCGCGCGCCCATGTACGCCTTCTACTCGCTGCTCATCTACATATTCTACAGCCTCTTTCGCAGGGATGGCGGTGCAGCGGCGACCGCCGACCCCGGGGACCCCGCTCAGGTGAGCAGGGTGGGGCCTGCATCGTAGGTCGACCCCCGCCCCCACCCCGAAATCGGGTGGCGGCAAGCCGGTGTCCTCAGGGAGCTATGGACGACTCACGTTTCGGTCTGGGTATTGGAAGCGTAGACCTTGGCCCCCATCTTTCTAGCCCAGTTCCCGGAAAGGAGCCCCACAGGCTGCATGCCACCTCCTCAGGGCCACCCTCTTCCTCCTTTCTAGAGAGCCCACTGCAAGCCCAGGGGTCGCCGTCGCCCTGACCAGCTCACACCAGAACTGTGGACTGAGCTGACCGGTCTGGCCGGTAGGTGCGACCTGGGCACTGCAGGGGCCTTGTGGGAGCCTGGCAGTTGGGGAAGAGGGAGGGGTGTTGCAATCTTATCGGGAGGGAGAGGAGGCTCAGCCTATAACGTGTGACAGGGAATGCCTCTCCCTCCCATTACCTGACCTCACAGGCAGGTCGGTGTCCGAAGATGGGCGACAAGAGGGAGCTGAGGGGCCCTCAGCTGAGGTGTCCTTAGAAGAGGCTCTCACACGCCTGGCTGAATTCCTCTCAGTCCAGCTAGGAGCAGAAGAGAGCTCTGGGAACCCTCCTCACCTGAGCAAGGTGAGCCCGGGGAGGGACTCAGCAACCACTTCTCTCTCCCTAACCCTTGTGGTGCCCGGTTCTGCTCCCCAGTCTCTTCTGCTCTAATTGTTATCTCCTACACAGCCTACGGATGTCCCCCCATTGCTGACAGTGACAAGTCAGCTCTTGGCTCTTCTGGCATGGATTCGGAGTCCTCAGGGCAGACAGGTCCTGCTGCAAGGGACTCAGCCAGCCTCCAACCTGCAGCCTCCCATTCCAGATGGTTTGTAAGGGGTACCCTCTATGGAAAGACTAAAGCCCATCAGAACCTGGGTGGCCTGGAACCCTGGGTCCTAAGCCCAGCTCTGCTCATGAGGAGAATTCAGGCCAGACACCTCTTCAGTCCTAATTGGGCCCACTCTCTCCAGGATCCCCCTTGAAAGAAGAAAGCCCTTCCCCTGGGCCAGGAGAAGTACTAGGAGAAGAGGCCCAGGGTCAGCAGGCTTCCCAATTGGAGGAGGAACAGAGAGCTTGGCAGCGACTGGAGCAGCTCATTCTTGGACAGGTGAGGGATCCAGGAACAGCAGATAGTAGGGGGTATGAGTGCTGAAAAAAGAATTCCATCCTGTTCCCTGACTCCTCTGCAGCTGGAAGAGCTGAAGCAGCAGCTTGAGCAGCAAGAGGAAGAATTGGGTAGACTGCGCCTAGAAGTGGTGAGACTTGGGGTTGGGGGTAAAAGGAGTTGGATGCCAGGGAGCCTGCCCACAGGGAACTGGCAGGAGGACCACTTTCAGCTGGGTCCTGAGGGTACTTCTCTTTGCTAGGGAGCGACAGACTCAGAGAAAAGGGTTCAGCATCTCACACTGGAGAATGAGGCCCTGAAACAGAGTCTAAGTCTCACTCGAGATCTTCTGCTGCACTGGGGTCCCAGCCCCTTCACCAGAGCCCCACAGGTACCCTGCTCCTTGGCTATGCCTTCCTTGTAGCACAGACTCTTGAATACTCAACATCCATAGGGCCCAAGCCTCATAGGACTTCATGCTTGGAGAAGCAGGGGGCCATCTCTGACTATGGGCAGGCCCTGGGAGAAGCAGGGGGCCATCTCTGACTATGGGCAGGCCCTGGGAGAAGCAGGGGGCCATCTCTGACTATGGGCAGGCCCTGGGATGGTTTAAGGCAGACTCATCCGGGAAGTTGCCCATGGGAGAATCCCCTTCATGGCTGAGTGCCTGACCTCAGGAGAGCAGAGAGACGGAAAGGAATCTTGCATGGAGTTTGGAAGCACAGGTTCAGTGGTGCCTGCTACCTTGGCTTCCTCATCTGTGTAATGTGACCACAGAATGCCCCTCCCTCAATTCCCACCTAGCTCCATAACCTATCTGACTCCCACCTTCCTGCAGGAGGAAGCAGAAGCATTGTTGGAGCTCCAGGGCCGGCTTCAGGAGGCCCAGGATACCACAGAAGCCCTCCGAGTTCAGGTGGGGTTGGGGGCTGGGGTGAGAAAAGCGGGGATGCTGGGAGGAGGTATCTGGGACAAGGCCTGGTAAGTGCCTGTTTCCTCAGTGACAGGGGTGGGGTTGGGGGGTGGGGCAGCTGGGGGTGCAGGAGGTGCAGCTGCAGGGCCTTCGAGGGGCCCTCCAGCAGCTCCAGCAGGAGACGGAGCAGAACTGCAGACGGGAACTGCAGCAGGTGCATGGGCAACTAGCAGGTAAGGACTGGGGCAGAGGGCTCATGAAAGGGCCTGGAGTGTGGGCTTTCCCTCGCAATGGCCTTCCCCTTCCAGGACTACGGGCACGGATGGCCAGCCTGCGCCAAGGTTGTGGGGACCTCCGAGGATTGGTCAGCACCTTTACTCAGAGCTGTCAGGGTTCGCTGAGTGAGGCCAGGGGCCAGGTCAGCACCCCTTGCCTTCTAGGACCTTCTCTGTGGGAAGCCTATTCACTGTTCTGGGAGTATTTCTCCTTTCCCAGCTCTGGGGAGCTACCTATACTAGTGAGTCAGTTGTAGGCTCTGGGACCCGAACAACTTCTGCATGGCTGTCCGACCTCACTTCTGTCCGTTTAAGCTGATAATTCCTTAGAAGCCCAGAGAGACAGATGATAGGGTATTCTTACCTATTCTTATGTTCTATCCCAAGTCCACTGAATGATGTCCCCACAGGCCTAAGGTCACTGAAAGGTGTAGACTCCCATAACTGGTGGCCACACTATGGCTCCATTTTGCTCTCAATACCCTATTCCACCTGGAGCTGTTTGGACCTGTCTTTGCCTTTCTCACATCCTTGTTCTCTCAGGTATCCTGGGCCCTGGGGGCACTATCGGCTGGAGGCTCTGGGACTCAGCTCCCTGATGAGCATCAGGGGTCCCCAACTGGATGCCAAGGAAGGCTGCTGGAACTCAAGGGTATGGTGAACTTGGGAGGTGGTGCAATGAGAAGGTCAGACTGGAGGAAGTGGAGCCTTTCTGTGCTTCAGGACCAAGGAGGCAATTTCTGTGCTGAATCCCCATGGCAGGAAATATCCGTGTGCTGTGTCGGTTGAGACCAGGGACACCCTCCAGCCTAGTGAGTGTGGAGCCCGGACCAGGGGGCACTGTCACCACCTGTTATCGAGGGCGCCAACGTCGCTTCTGCCTAGACTGGGTCTTCCCTCCAGATGCCAGCCAGGAAGAGGTAAGAGCCACCTTTTGCTCAGAATCCCCTGAAATCTGGAAGAGGCTTATTTCCTCCTACCCTGTCTATAGGAGGAAGGGTGACTGAGCTCCAGGAGAGAAGGGAAGGGAGCTGCCAGAGGCTCTGGGAGGAAGCACTGATTATTTAGCTGGGTGGGGTGATACGTAGCCCTTCTGGACAGGGTTCTTCAACCCAGTGTGTCTGGTCAAAGATTTCTGTTACCAATCCTTTGTGTTCCCCATTTCTGCACCTCCACATCCATCTAGTCAAGGACTCAGTCCCACCTTGACCATCAGCCACGACTTCAAGCAGAGGTGACAGGTACATAGTTACCAGCAACTTTCTGGCAGGAAAGCTGGCCATGTTGTTTTTCAAAAGGTTGCTGTGTCCAGTTGCCAATGAGAGGAATATTTCTGTCCCATCCACAGCTCAGCCACTTTGCTGCACCTCTCAGTATGGGGCTAGAGCAGTCCTCAATGATCACTATCCCTTACACCCCTGGAGCCCGCCCTAGGCTCATCCTCTATATGCCAAGTGCTGCTGTGGTCCTCTCTCAAGAAGTGTCAGAGAGCTGGGCGCGGTGGCGCATGCCTGTAATCCCAGCACTCGGAAGGCTGAGGCAGGAGGATTGTTGTGAATTTGAGACCAGCCTGGGCTACAAAGTGAGCTCAAGGGCAGCCTGAACTACATAGTGAGACCCTGTCTCAAAAAGACCAAAAAAAAAAAAAAAAAAAAAAAAAAAAAAAAAAAAAAAAAAAAGCAGAGAGAAATGACACAAAAGAGAACCACAGGAAGGACGAGTAACTTGCTTCAGTCACACCTACCTTTGGATCAGATGGTCAAGCCCAGCACCTGGCCTGAACCCTGCTGCCCGGGACTCCTAAGTACACCTCAGGACTTCACATTCTCTGCAGTCTGTTTCCTTTTCATTTCCAAGAAGGCAGAGGGTGTTGCTGGGAGACCTTGTGATTTCTGGAGCCACCTTGCAGGGGAATTACTCTGCTCTTAACTTTGTTCGCTGAACTTCTCACCCTTCTAGATCCTGACTAGGGACCGGAGGGCTGGGCTCAGAGCACTTCTCCCCATCCCCCTGCCTCCAGGTCTTTAGGGAGCTAGAACCAGCTGTGCTGTCCTGCCTCCGAGGCTACAGTGTCTGCATCTTCACCTACGGTCAGACCGGGACTGGGAAGACCTACAGCATGGAGGTGGGGTGGGGGCCACACTTGGGGGGAAAGGCTCCAGGCGTGGATGTGAACCCAAAGTGGTACCCCACACTGTCCTCAGGGCCCACCTGAGGACCCTGGCATAGCTCCCAGGGCACTGCAGTCCCTGTTCCGGGAGATGGGGGCTGGAGGGCAGCACCGAGTGACCCTCAGCATGGTGGAGATCTACAACGAGGCAGTCAGGTCAGGCCTCTCCCTTTTTCCTTGCCCCTGGCCCAGCATCTCTTCAATTAGCCCTAGAGCCCAGGAACCAGGGTGTTTCCTTTTCTCCCCAGGGACCTTTTGGCCCCAGGACCCCCAGAGCGCTTGGCAGTGAGGCAGGGCCCAGCCAGCCAAGGGGGCATCCAGGTGGCTGGCCTCACCCACTGGGACGTACCAAACCTGGAGACCCTGCACCAGGTAGGGCTGCCTTCTAATCCTTCTCTCCCCCTACCCCCGGCCTGGAGCTATCCCAGGCAACCCAGTGGCTCCACCCTCCAGATGCTGAGTGTGGGGAGGAGCAACAGGGCCACCGCAGCTACTGCCATGAATACACGGAGCTCGCGCTCTCACGCTCTGGTTACTCTGACGCTGCGGGCGGCGTACCCCCCACGAGGCCCTAGCCCCGCAGGCACACTGCACCTGGTGGACCTGGCGGGATCTGAGCGTGCATGGAAGGCAGGGGTGGCCAGTGTGCCGCGGGGTGACCCGAACAGCGCACAGCGTCTGCGGGAAGCGCAGACCATCAACCGCTCACTACTGGCACTGGGAGGCGTGATGGCTGCACTGCGCTCCCGCCGGCCACACGTGCCCTTCCGCGACTCGCAGCTCACGCGCCTGCTGCAGCCTGCGCTCGGCCCGGGGGCCACTGCGGTGCTCCTGCTCCAGGTGGGGGCCAATGGAGGTGTGGGCATGGGGGACCGAAGCGTGTGCGCAGAGCCTGCCCACCAGTGCTGCTTTCTGCAGATCTCCACTCGGTTGGAGGACCTTGGGGAGACCGTCTGCTCACTTAAGTTCGCCGAACGAGTGGGTCAAGTGGAGCTGGGCCCTGCCCGGCGCCAGAAGACCCCGCGATCCGGGACACCCTCCTCCCTCAGCACTGATACCCCACTCACTGAGACCGCCTGCACCCCTACACCCTCTCCAGGCAGCCAAAGTCCCAGCCCCCATGGGGACTCTGGTTTGGTTCTTGCGCCCCCAGGGGACCTGCCCCCTTAGTTCTAGGCCGGTGGAAGGGGCCTGGGTGCCCCTCTGCTGGCAGAGGCAGCTTAAGAGCCCCTGTACCGCATCTCCCAGGACAACCTGCTTGACCTCTGGAGGACAATTGCCCCCCAATCTCCTCTCTTCCACCCCTGGCCAGAGAAGTGTTATGCCTGGAGAAATGGTTGTGCCCCACCCCATTGGGCCAGAGGCCCTCAGCTCCCTCCTTATCACCATTTGCTCTTATCACAGCACACAGCGGGAGATCCCAGAGCTACAGGAGCCAGACCCCAGCCAAGTGGCTTCCCAAGTCACCACCTCTGTCCCCAAAAAACCAGACTTGGCATTAAAATGCTGTACATTTCTTTACTATTATCTCCCCCATCATCTTCACCCCAAGACTATGTAGGGTCTAGTTTTTATTCCCTTACCCTTTTCCCAAAAGGTGCTACCTCCTTCCCAGACAGTTGAGGGAGGCAGGACTTCAGGCTGGACCTACCATTAGGCTCTCCCTCCCCCAGCCTGGAGCCAGCAAGGGGAGGGGACAGATGGTGATGGATGGATAAATGGATGGTGGTGGCCTGAAGGTGAGACCAAGAAGGGCTACTCCAGGCTGAGCCCTGTTCCTCCAGCTTTGCCCCTGGGTGTGGGGGAAGCAGGGGCATGACTGACCTGGGCCCGGGTCCTGAATAGTTGGGCTGCAACCCTTTCTGGGGTAGACCAATAAACATTGTGGACTCTCAACAAGGCTGGTATTTCAAGGCTGTTGTGAATTCTGTGAACATCCTCCTCCTAGCCGAAACAAGGCTCCCTATCAAGCTGGGGGTGTTGGGGTGGGGGCAGCCCCTGTCCTGGGAACTTCACAGGCTGTACCAGGAGAGCAGCCAGCCTGGGACAGGGGCAGCCAGGTCCCGAGGGTGGCTCACCCACACATCATAGATACTTTTGTTGGGTGGCACCCCCTGAAAGAGGGAGTCGAGATCCCACAGCAGCCCCGGGGAAGCTCCAGACTCAGGGGCAACCCCCCAATAGGCTGGACTGGTTGAAGGTGGGCATTGGGGACAGGAAGTGGGTGGCAGTGGGGCCAAGGGCATTACCACATTGGGGGTATAAATGGGCAAGTAGGAGGTGGGCAGCTGTCCCCACAAAGAGGTTCTGCATTCCCCACTGGGCAGCCCCCCAGGGTCTAGACTACCCTGTAGTACATGGAGGGGCCAGGTTGTGGGTTGTGGGGACAGTGTCGAGGGCCCAATGACTGTTCCTTGGGAAGTGTCCCCCTCCACTGTTGTGGGCCCCTGGAGAGGGCAGAGGGGCCATAGAGGCCTCTCAGAGGAGGGAAGTGGTGGAGTGGGCACCACCTCCTCCCCACTGCACCCCAGGCCTGCCTGAGCTGGGCTGCACTGTCTAGCTGGGTTAGGCTGCTGGGGCCAGGGTGCCTCCTCCTGAGGTTGCCCTAGCAGGGACTTGATGCTGAAGCCCTCGCTGGGCTGTGGCTGAGGACTGGGTGTCCTGTAGGGCCGGCCGTGCAGCACATAGGGGCTTAGGTCCTTGGCGAAGGCTCTGCACGTGCCCCGGTTCTGCCAGCGCCGGCACAGGGCGGTGTTCTGCAGGCGCAGTGCCTCCGCTGGGATCAGGCTCACATCAACTGCCCAGAAGTTGCCTTTGGCTTGGGGCTTCGAAGGGTCCTTGGGCACCTGGGGGGTGTTGGGCTTGGGTGGGACCGTCCAACCCCAGATGCTCAGGGCTTCCACAACCACCCAGCCCCCGGGCTCCGACCCTCCCTTGCCAAACCTTGTGGAAGCATCGGTTGGAGGAAAGGTTGTGGCGAATGGAGTCCTTCCAGCCCTCATAGTCATCCCTGAAGAAGGGGAAAACGGCCTGGACCTGCCGGATGATCTGAAAGCAGGCAGCGGCCAGCGCCATGAGCCAGGTGGGTGGCAACACTCACCCCTCCCCCACAGCGAGGCACCCCCCCACACACGGAGGAACACTTCTGTGCCTGAGGGTAATTTTTAGGGTTCCAGGGACTGAACCCCTCAACTCCCACACTGGTAGAGCTGGGTGTGGTAGGAGGCAGCTGAGGTTCAACCAAAGCCTGGGGCGGGTGGGTAAAGGGTCTGGGAAAGGGGCAACCAGGAATGTGGGGGAATGTGGGGATCTTCTCACCTGGGCCAGCTTCAGCCTGCGGGAAGGTGCAGCCTGAATCACCAAGGCGATCATGGCCAAGTAGGTGTACGGGGGTTTGTCATGTCGCAGGTATCTTTTCTTCCTCCTCTTGGGGGGCTTTGAGGGTGACTCTGCCTCCAGGAGCCCCAGGTGGGTGTTGCTGCAGGGCCCCATGTGGGTGTGGGGGCTGGCAGCGTGGTCCAAAGCCTGGCTTAGAGGAGGTTCAGGGCTGCCAGAGAGTGTGGCAAGTTTGGGCCGGAGCCGGAGGCCGGGTCAGAGCCGGCGGGCCAGACCCTTTATCATTCTTATGGAAGGGGGAGGGGAAAGAGAGGAAGAGGCTGTGGGGGAGGGGAGCATGCAAGGGCTGCCACAATTAGCAGGTTTCAGTTAATCTGAAAGGGAGGGGCAGAGAGGATTCCAGTGGGGACTTCTGGTGACCTCTTGAAGCCACCATCCCATTCCGGGTTGCCTTTGGGTGATGGCATCTCCTGTGAGGTAGGAGGAAAATCTTCAAGGGGCCTGTGGCCCAGGATTGCTTTGCCTGGGCCAGGGCTCCAGCTCCCACCTAAAGGCTGGGGAGTAACTTGCCCTTGTCAAGCTGCTGAGCATTCAGGAGCATCCTGAATCCTGGGGGCTGAATGTGATTAGAAGGCTTCCTTGGGGGCTGGGGATTTAGCTCAGCAGCAAAGCGCCTGCCTGGCAAGCGCAAGGTCGTGAGTTCGGTTCCCGGTACTGGAGAAAAAAAAAAAAAAAAAAAAAAAAAAAAAAAAAAAAAGAAGGCTTCCTGGACAGAGAGGCCATGAAGCCTCCACCCCAGGAGCAAAAGGGAGATACAATGGCTTCAAGTGATTTTCCCACGAGCACGGTACAGGAACCCAGGTGGGATTTTCATCTTCTCTTCCTGGCCCTCTTATCTGTGGCTCTGCCTGTGGGATCAGTCAGGATATGTGCTCTGTATCTGCCCCCAAACCACGGTTCTCTTCACACTGGGCAAGTTTGCTCAAGAGGGTATCTGGGCCAGAGCACCATCAGTGGTGGTTGGTGCTGGTAGCACGGCACGGCGCTCTCAGACCGCAAGGAGCCCTTTCCTAACCTGCTGCATACGGTGTGTGTTTAGCACCTGGACTCAGGGAAGAGAAGCACCCCTAGTACATTGGAGGACAGGGCTTGGGGCAAAAATGGAGGATAACTGTGGGGTATCACTGCACCTGCCCACCCATCCTTGGTTGGGTTGGGCCCCTTTCCTTGATGATCTGCGACTCTCAGAGACCCCCTCTGGCTCTCTCTGGGCTCCTGTCTTTTTTTTTTTTTTTTTTCCCCACTTACAGGGCTTTCTCCTCCCTTCCCTTTCTGGACTTTCTCTGAAGGGTCCTTGTGTCCTAAAGCCTTTTAGCCTCACTCTTGAGGGCATCACTCCTCGAAGTCGCCCCCTGCACTGTCCTGCCCAGCTCCTCCTCTCCAGTAGCCACTGTCCGCACCCACCTCCCGTTTTCCTGCCCCTACCCCAGCAGCTGCCCATTTCTCCGGTGCAGCTCTAGCCCTTCTGCCTCAGCACACGCCACTGCCTCCACCCACCCATGGTGTCTTTGCTTTGAACAGTGGATTCCTCCTACCCATCCTTCACAGCCCAGCATATAGACAGGAGACTACCCTTCTAAGAACATTTGACCACCTGCCCTTCCCGCCCCTCCCGGGCCCAGAGGAAGTCTGCGCAGCAGAGAGGAGCAAACGACACGCTCCCGAAGCCTCCTAGACTTTCCCGGGATAGGTTCCACCCATGGCGAGCGCTCCCCAAAGTCCCTCCCGCCTCCCGCCTCCCGCCTCCCGCCCCCCGCTTCGGGCTCCCACAGGTCACCGCGGCTTCCGCTGCGGCCCGGAAGTGTCGCGTTGCCATGGCGAGGCTCCGCGCGGGGCCCGCCCCCGCGGTGCCTACTGAAGCAAGGGGCCGACTGACCAGCGTGGGGGTCCGATCGAGCGCCCCGCCTGCGAGGTTGAGGTGAGGCTCGTCCTGCAGGCGGGCGGTGGGGAGCAGGCCGGGCCCGGCGGGCTACTGGGCCGGCGAAGGCGCGAGCGAGGGCGCCGGAGGAGCAGGCCGGGAGGGCTGAGAATGCAGAGGTTGGGAGACGCTTCCAGAAGAGGCCGCTCTTGGAGGCTCCCGGATCTAAGCGTGAAGACGTTGTGTTCTTGCAACCTGTTGGTCAGGTGGGCATTGCTCGAACGGACTTATTTTTAGGTGAGGACATTCAGGCCGCAGAAGAGAAAGGATTTGCCCAGGTGTGGGGGGAGTTTGTAGTTAGGCGAGAGGATAAACTGGAGCTTCTCGGGGATTGAAGTGCCTGCGCTTGTAGGTGGGCGCTGAGGCTGCACCTCGTAGATTGAGCTGATTTGGGCCGCTGGCTGAGCCTCAGAGGCTCAGGGCATGATGGAGTTAATTTCCACGGGATTAAAGAGGAGAGGGCTGTGTGGAGGAGTTACCCAGGCTGTGGGGGCCAGAGCAGGGCTAGCCTTCCCCACAGCTAGGTGCTTTCCCGTCCTCCTGGTCGTACTTGGAGGTGCAGGTGCAGGAGGTGGTTTTCTCAAACTTTCTGTAGCCCAGCAGTGAGCCCTCCTGGACGCTCCCCCACCTTACTTTCTCTGGCCGGATTGGGATTTCCCAGGGAGGTGTGTCTTACCTGTAGCAGCCAGGTTCTGCTAAGGCCCCCTAGTTTACTTCAGGGACTCAGAGCCACCACTGGCCCAGCTCGGGAGCTCCAGCACGGGGAGGACGGAGGTCACTTTCTGAGGGGTGGTGGCTGACTGGTGGGATCTGTACAGATGTTGGTTCCATCTTTGTCATTGTGACAAAAGTTGAGGGCCCTGAGGCACTATCCGCCAGCCCCTGGCCCAAGTCCCCAGTTTTCCCCAGGGCTGGGATGGAGATATTTTAGCGGGTTCTTCCCTCCTGATGCCTGGGCTGGGTTTTCCTCCTTTTGGCTGGGGCCTTCCCTCTTGTCTCTTTTTTTTTTTTTTTTTT